GAATTGAATTTCTTCAAAAAACGGATAGGAGAATAAGATTGGATTGCATTTTTGCACATATCGCTTCAAAATTTCTCTCAAAATCGTCGCCCCCTCAAAAATCGTGTGACACATCTGTTTTTTCTTAAAAAAAACAACAAAAAACGAAAAAAAAACATGATTTCCCTTTTGAAATTCGATATTTAAACGTAAAATTGTGTGTTCAGCAGTCAAAAAAAAAAGCTGATAGAAGGTTGTGGGAACTGGCTACAATTTGGTGAAAATGTTCTTAATTTGACTGAATTTGGAGCAAGACAGAAAAAAGTTTGCATTAAAGATCAGGCATTAATTTGGTTCAGATTAGATCTAAAAATATGAAACAAAATCCATCTCTGAATGTGGTTTGGTTTAAAATATTCCACAATGACGGGCAAATCCCCGGAAAAATTCTCATCAAAACCCGAAATAACCTCAAAAAAGTCTCCTCATGATGATTTTGATTAGAAAACTTACTGATTTTCAATTTCAATCGTTTTTGCAAAGATTGAGCACAGCAAAGACTACTGCATTTACGGCATGAATTTCGTTTTGTAATTCTTCCGTTGTAATCGACTTTACAGCGATCATCCATCACCAACTACATTTGGAAAAGCTCATCAACTAGCTCATCAACATCAACTTCAACTCACAGGGAATGTACTGTAAAATTTGCGACGGGCAAATCCCGGAAAAACTATCACAGGAAATTTCCTGGACAACTTGCGCAAAGAATTTTCAACTCTAAATTGAAATAACAGTAAAGAAAGTTAATGATTGAGAAAATTTAACCAAAATTGTGATTGTGAAAATCCCCAGTAGACAGAAAAAAATTTTCGGAGGAGGGGGTGAAAAAAAAGGAAGTCACGGAGTTGAAACCACAATTTCCCTCTTACTGCGTGAACGCTCTACCAATGAGCTATACGGACACTTATCCTATTGCCACCAGGGAGGGGCTTTATCCCTTACTCTTTATGCCTTTATTGCCTTATTGGCAACGATCACAATTTTTCTGTTTTGCGGTGGTTCCTGTTAGGCAATTATTCAAATTTTGAACAATGAAATTAAAAAATGGCAGAAGAAAGTAAAAAAAGAAAAAAATGCAATAAATATGCAAGAAAAATTCAAAAATCCAAGAAAAATGAAGAAGAAAAGAGAAATTCTTGAAGAAAAATGTAATTTTTTGAAAGAAAAGGGCTATCCAGTAAGAGACAGATAAAAATGCGCCAAAAAAAAAGTTTTGATTTCGGGGGCAAACTTTTTAAAATGATATATTATCCCTCTTGGCTACGGACTTGGTGAGAGTAATGATGAATAGCATTCCGAATGCAAAGCGGTGCAGTCTCGGGTTGCAAAACGGTACATTGACTGTAAAAAGTTGAATTTACACATTTCTAAAGCATACAATCAAGGCTGGCCATCAGAAGCTGGCTGGCCATCAGAAGCTGGCTGGCCATCAGAAGCTGGCTGGCCATCAGAAGCTGGCTGGCCATCAGAAGCTGGCTGGCCATCAGAAGCTGGCTGGCCATCAGAAGCTGGCTGGCCATCAGAAGCTGGCTGGCCATCAGAAGCTGGCTGGCCATCAGAAGCTGGCTGGCCATCAGAAGCTGGCTGGCCATCAGAAGCTGGCTGGCCATTCGAGACTGCTATGGACTATGGACAAGGCTATGGAACCTGCACGAATTGTAAATTACATAAAAAATGATGGCATTTAGCAATAAGCCAAAATCCTAACAGCACACTTAGAAAAGCGCTCAGCCGCAGCAGAGATCGACTCAAGAGATCCCCTCTCCTTCTTTGCGCTAATTTTTGATTGACAAAAGTTTTTCGATGTCTAGCAAAGACAATGGGAAAACTTGAAAGTGAGGGAAAAGTTCGAAAAAAGTGACTGAGTCCAAAAACGGGGCCTTCCCGAGCACTCTTTCCAGGGTTTGGTTTTTCTTTTCCCCTTTCATCCATTGTTTCCGCACATTCGATTTTGTAAAGGTAAAAAGTTGACAAAAGAGCACAGCCAAGCGAAAACAAATCCCCGTTTTTCGCTTTTTTTTTTCTGGAGAAGAGGAGAAGACAAGTTTGATATAAGCTTTAGAAAGAAGTTATTCAGAAGAGTGACTTGGATTACCCTGGTAGCACAAGAAAAGCCACTGGGCTAGAAAGCCAATGGGCTAGAAAAGCCACTAATGGGCTAGAAAGCGTGCGTTTGGATGCAGTTAAACAGTTATACTTTTTAGGTTTTAAAGATAAAAACTAAAGTTTTATAATGACTAGAGATAAAAATGGAATTGAGAATCCCAAAGGGGTAAGTGAGAGCAGGAAATGCTCGGATTTCCACGCCTTTTCCCCCTCCTCCTCCCTTAATCTCATCATTCTCTAAATAATATTCTAAAAAGTAAAGATTAAATCATTCGAAGAACTTCTAAAAAAGAAAGAATTAAGTAGCAAGTTTTAAAGCACTTTGTATATCCCTTTTTAATCGTATCAACGGGCACTTCCGTTCAAGAAACTGTTAAACTGAACTAAAATTAAAAAAACTAAAACTTTTCCGTAATAATCTCTCTAGATATTCTATAGACAAGAAAAAAGAATATATCAGTTTAAATTTGCATAGAAAAAAGTTTAGAAGGAAGTGCAAAAGTCGGCAATGTTAAAAGTATTGAAAGGGGAAAAGAAAAAGATTATCGAATCTCCGAGGACTCGCAAATGAGTTCGGAGAAAGGTGAAAATAAATGAAAGAAAAATGGGGATGAATTTACAAGATCCCATCATGATTACATGGATATAAATACTTTTTAGGGGAAAGCTTTGGTGGAAATCGAAGTGATGGTGAGTTTTTATTTTCGTTTTTCGATTCACTTTTGAATTCTCGAGATCCGTATTAGATCAAAATAGGAACCGTATTGGAACCTCACAAGGAACCGTATTGGAACCGTTTTGGAACCGTATCGGAACCGTATTAGATCAAAAAAAGAACGGTATTGGAACCGTATTGGAACCTCACAAGGAACCGTTTTGGAACCGTATCGGAACCGTTTTGGAACCGTATCGGAACCGTATTAGATCAAAAAAAGAACCGTATTGGAACCGTATCAGACCAAAATAGGAACCCTATTAGAACCGTATTGGAACCATATTAGACCAAAATAGGAACCCTATTGGAACCGTATCGGAACCGTATTAGACCAAAATAGGAACCGAATCGAGAATTCAACGAGAATTCAACAATTGTACCTTTGAACTTGTAGAATGTTTAGCATGGTAGTTAACAATCTAGTCAACAAGGAAATTTCTCAAAAAAAAAACGAAATCCAAAAGATTTCCTGGTTGAGTTTATCGGAGAGACGATCAAAAAACAAACAAAAATCTAGGGTTTCTGAAAGTACACTCTACGAGAGAAGACTTGAAATTGAAAAAATTTCCCTTATTGTTTCCAAAAATGTTTCGTGTTAAGAGGGTACTTTGAGGATTTCGAGATTTTTAAAAAAAAACGGCTTCTCTCAGAAGTTTCTCTCATTTTCCATAAAAAGTAAGTGTTTTTCCGTTTCGAAAAAAATCCCTTAAAACTTGCATAAGTTTTCAGTTCTTTGGCAACTAATCTCTGACTTTTTTGAAGAAAGCGAGTAAGTACCTAGTCGCTTATTTATGAGGGATTTTGAGGAAAATAAACAACAATAGTAACATGTAAAGTATCATAGAGTTACAAGAAGTTTTTAGTTGAATGAATCATTTACCGTAATAATTGAATTGATATCTATCGGTAATTGGTTTAAAAAGAAAAAAACCCAGCCCTTCAAGCCAGCCCTTCAAGCCAGCCCTTCAAGCCAGCCCTTCAAGCCAGCCCTTCAAGCCAGCCCTTCAAGCCAGCCCTTCAAGCCAGCCCTTCAAGCCAGCCCTTCAAGCCAGCCCTTCAAGCCAGCCCTTCAACAGAATCCCAATTTTCCTCTTACAGAAAAAGTTTCGAATTAATTGAACAAAAGATTTTCCTGGCTGAGTGGCGAGCAATTCGAGTGTTCCCAAATGATCACCCATAAAATAAAAAGCGAAAATTGGAATTGAGAAAAAACGCTTTAGTTCTTTTTAAAGTCTAGGCTTTTTCTTTCTTTTCCTTTCTTTTCAGAATACTTCTTAAAAGAATGCAAAAGAAATGAGCTTTTGAGGCAGTCAGTTGGTGTTTTATTTTTAGTACAAAAGCTAAACTAATACATTTCATGCTTTTTATCATAATATCAATCTCCCGATCCACCCGGATTATCCCAGACTATCCCTAAAATAAATCTCATTGACGTGAATGTAAAACAAACTTCTTACTAATGGGTTATTAATTGCAATAAACACAGTATCTAAATTTCATGAACTTTAAAAGTCGATTTGTGTCATTTTTTATCTTTTTTGTGTAACCATTGGGCTTCAATTTATGCAAATTCGATGAAGCGACGGAGTTCACTTTGAGGGAGAACTGGGAGAAAAGAGAGAAAAGAATAAAAAAGTAAACTTGCAGGAATAGAAAAAGTTAGTCCAGCGTTTGCATTTAATAAATATAAGATGATGTGAATCTATAGCACAAAATCCAGAGAAGTTTATTGACTGTTTTCATCTAAGGCAGTTTCATACAGTTTCATAAACTTATTCTTTGTACAATTACAAGGCGACCAGAAATAACGGAGTATTTTTGTTGAATCTTCGTTTTTTTTCCAACTTTTTGATAGCTAGAGTACTGTAAAGCTATTATTTTTTAAAAATTGGATATTTTAAAGTGTAAAAACATTACTGTCAATCTAACAACACAGCCACAATATTTTTAAAGCACCCTAGAAGAACGTGCATCAGGGAAGACCCATTATAAAAATGACTGTTTACGCTTTAGAAACATAGTGAACGGCTCAAAATAAAATTTAAACTATTTTCTTTACTTACTGCATTTAATAAATATAACATGATGTGAATCTATAGCACAAAATCCAGAGAAGTTTATTGAATGTTTTCATCTAAGGCATCGTTTTCAAATCAAAAAGCTCAAGAAGCAAAGGATCTAGTTGATTTGGATCTAATCGATAATAAATCGACAATAGTCCCTCGTTGATTTTCTTCAAATCGATGAGTCTAGCCAGAAGATTCTCGAAAGCCGATCGAGCCTCGAAAGAACTCGGGAACACACTTTCAAGGACTCTAAATTGTTTCAATAGCTCTTTTCCATTGTATCATTCATCATCAGTTAAGTTTCATACAGTTTCATAAACTTATTCTTTGTACAATTACAAGGCGACCAGAAATAACGGAGTATTTTTGTTGAATCTTCGTTTTTTTCCAACTTTTTGATAGCTAGAGTACTGTAAAGCTATTATTTTTTAAAAATTGGGTATTTTAAAGTGTAAAAACATTACTGTCAATCTAATAACACGCCTCCATCTTTTTAAAGCACCCTAGAAGAACGTGCATCAGGGAAAATCCATTATAAAAATGATAAAAATGACTGTTTACGTTTTAGAAACATAGTGAACGGCTCAAAATAAAATTTAAACTATTTTCTTTACTCCTTTTATGTTTCAAGGACCAAAAATTTGCCCACTAATATTCAGTGTGCTAAAAGGAAAATTTAAATTTTAGTTTTGACAGTCTATCTTAACAAGTACTGTTAACAAGTAATTCAGAATATTATTGGCTAAACTATTTTGATCGAAAATATCTAAAACTTGTCTATTTTCTAATAATCCTTTCCGTTTTTGGATCCGAGAAAAATTCAGCATTTTTTGGCGCCACAAAAATCGATTGTGGATTTGATACGCGCCCCTTTGCTATTGGCAATTCAACTTTGAGCTCAAATATCTTGATGTTGGGCTTTTCAATTTAAATAGTTTTTGTAGCAATCGACAGAGAAAGACTTGGCGCATCTAATAATACCAAGAATATTTAAATTAAGCAGCCAAGATATTCAAGATACCAAGATATTTGAGCTCAAAGTTAGATTGCTAATGGAAAAAGGGGCGGAGTGCTTATCAAATGTCCGATAACCACAAAAACCCACTCCGTTATTAGACTTGATTATTTGTTTAACTCACTTGAGCAACAACTGATAGTACATCTGCTGAGCGGTGGCCACTCGTTGTTGATCTGACAAAAGAGGACGATCGGGCGAGAAGAGAACCAATGCCACGACACAAAGCATCACGGCCTCGTTTCGACGAATCCTTTCACCAAATGAAGTCAAGAATCTGTTCAAATTAAAGTTAATAAATCTTTAAATCTTGAAGTCTCTACTTTTTATGCTCTTCATAATGTTGTTGAGCGATCGGCGAGCGGAGAAGGATTTCAAGTTTCACTTGCATTTCCGAGCTTCCCTAGAACTTTCTTGTAATGTAATTTTGTCTAAAAACTTTATTAGTTTGATGGTTCCAAACATTTCTTGTCGGATCAAAGACCATCACTCCACGAATGATCAGCAATTCACTCGCTCCACCTGAAATTTAGCTTTACGCCTAAGAAAGGCTTTTGCAACTTGAGCATGGCAAAATCCGATCAACATTATTCATTGACAAACGCACGCTTTCTGGCACACTGTCTATTTAGAAGATTAGTAAGAAATGTGCCAGAAAGCAGACGATTCGAATAAAGTTCAAACTTGTATAACCTTTTATCAAATTGATTTGATCTTGATTGGTGAGCGATTGGAATGAACGCAGTTCCTTTGCCATTACAATGATTCTTCTAGAAATGGTTCAATGATAAAAAGCCAAGAACAACCGTAGTGCCAAATTCGTGATATTGACAACTTCCATCAGTGAAAGCTCTTGTTCAGCCTCGATTTCGAGTGGAGCCTTTAGACACTCATTGGCTTTGATCAATTCCTAGAATTTCTTTTTAAATCCTTTCCGAATTCTTGTTTACCTGAAGCAACTCCTGATTTTCCTTGTTCAAATTTGGCAAAATCGATTCTGCTGAATAGTCGAAGCTTTCTAAAAGTATTCCCGATTAGAAAATTTTTTGATAGCTTGTTATTGTTGTTTACCTTTACTTGTTGAAGCGGAAGTGGAGAATGAAGCAAGGGCATCACTTAATGTTGAAGTAGGGCTTACTGAAAAAATGGATTTTTCTTTGAAGGATTTAGAAAAACCTTGAAGTAAGCGAGCGTTTGAGCTTTGTCCCATGTAGGAAATGTTTGACGGAATGGGAGGGAAAGAACTCGGTCTGCAAGGATGGATGTTTATAAGTTATAAGCTGACTGTTGAATCAGTATTTGGCTGTCCAGAAAGTCTTTTTATTTCTTTTCGTACTTCCGTTTAAAACCAACAAATGCACCAGTTGAACTACGGTTTGTTTCATCAGAAATGTCAATTATTTTTCTCAAATTGACTTTAAAAGATGAGGAATTGAACAAATAAAAACTTTTTATTTAGAGCAAACCATAGGTTAATTGTTGAATTTATTATTTTTTAACGGAATTACGAAAAGGAACGAAAAGAATCTCTGGACAGCCTAATAGAACGAATATGGTGTTTGTAAACGTATAATTTCGGAGTAAACATACATTGACGCCGTTTGCATTCTCGAGATCCCGGCCGCCAAGCTTGGATTGTACCTGTAGACTTGTATGTTTTGCCCAAGCTGCCCTTTGGCTCTTTTAACATACCAGTTAAAGTGAATTGGTGGCGTGAGCTGACCCGGTAGATACATCGATTGAGGTGACTGAGCGAACTGCGGTAGTTGCCTTGAATTGATTTCATAATTACTCATAAGCTTTTTCTTACTTAAAAACGGGGCTTTGTGGATTATTGTCCTTCGGAGAGTTGGGAATTTGTAGATTGGGAAGTGGTGGATCTGAATTGTGCTTATTGAGCCTTACAATAGTAAACACACTGTGTGGATCCTGTTTTGCGACCAACTTCGTTCCTTTTGGATAGAAACCACATTTGCATTGACAAAAACATTCATCAAGCTTTCTAAATGTGGCCCAGAATGTTTTTGATCATACACCCATGCACAAAAAAAATGTCACATCGTTTTTACAAAACTTTACGCCTAAATTTGACCTACTAAACGTGTTCCAAATTCTATGCTGTCAAAAGGTTTTAGATAGCAAAAAGCTTCTACTTTCTTGTGAAAAAGTGTTCAAGTTCCAGCAATTTGTTTAAATTTTTATTTTTCAATAAATACCGGAAGAACACCAAAAACGGGTGCACAAAAAAATGTCACATTAACTTGAACCTGCTTTTTCCGTTTTACTTTTTTGATTGCACTTTATGCTAATTTTTAAATTTTAGAATGGTAAAATCACAGCTCTCAACGCCAGACAAAGAAAAGATTGTTGAAGCAAGGAAACAAGGAATCCCGCGGAAACAGGTGGCCGAGCTGTTCAAATGTGATGTAAGAACCGTTTCTCGCATTGCTGCGAAGTCGAGAACGACTGGAAATTTGCACAGGACACCAGGAAGTGGACGGCCACCAGCCACTACACCACGCGAGACAAGGCTTTGATTTTGGCGCACAATAAGGACCCGAATCTTAACGCGTCGGATGGTGTTTGCCTCATCAAGCAACAATTCGGCAAGGATATCAATCGAATGACAGTGAGCCGACGCTGAATCGAGCAGGATTGAAACTGAAGGGCCGCCAAGAAGCCTCTGATGGTTGCCAAGCACAGGAAGATCCGACTCGAGTTCGCAAAAAAAGTACCAAAGTTGGACGCCGAATGACTGGGCCAATGTCATTTTCACCGATGAGTCGAAGATCAATCTCTTCAACCCTAATGGCAATCACTTGATCCGGAGACCAGTTGGACAACGCCAAACATCAAATACTTGCGGCCGACAGTCAAATTTGGTGGCGGATCGATATGCTATGGGGTAAAAGACTGTTCCCTTATGTCAACTAATCTTGCTTTTTCAGGAGCGATGACTAGAAGTTCACCAGGTCCGCTCGTCTTTCTCAACTCAACCTTGAAGGCCCAGCGGTACAAGACGATCCTGGAGAATGATCTTCTTCCATTTGCGACCACGAATATGGGACAAGGATGGTTGTTGTACCAGGATAACGCCCGTGTCACAAGCACCAGATGTTGATAGGAAGGGTCGGCCGACTTTCAAGCGGTGGAAGGGCTCGTTACCGGGATGGTTCGCTGACAATCGTGTCAAGCTCGTCGCTGCTCCACCTATAGCCCGGATCTCAACGAATCGAGCATTTGTGGTCGCACACAAGGGTAAACTGGAGGGCAAACGATTTGCGACCAAGGTTGAGCTTTGGTACTTCATTCGAAGCGGAAGATTTGAGGATCCTCTTGGAGGATTTGACTGATTCGATGCCACGGAGGATTCAGGCAGTTATTCAAGCTAAGGGAGGCCCGACAAAATATTAGATTTTTGTTTTTATCAATTTTTATTTTATGTGTGACATTTTTTTTGTGCACCCGTTTTTGGTGTTCTTCCGGTATTTATTGAAAAATAAAAATTTAAACAAATTGCTGGAACTTGAACACTTTTTCACAAGAAAGTAGAAGCTTTTTGCTATCTAAAACCTTTTGACAGCATAGAATTTGGAACACGTTTAGTAGGTCAAATTTAGGCGTAAAGTTTTGTAAAAACGATGTGACATTTTTTTTGTGCATGGGTGTAGTTCTCTTTTTGACTCACCTTCCTGATTTGGTCTTTCTGATGAGTTCTTGAAGAACTTCTTTCGATACTGTCACTTCGTCCGACGAATCATCGTTCACAGCCTAGGTTGTACATTTTAAATTCAACTTTTACTGATTGTGAGTGACCAGACTATTTTGTTGGATCAATGCTCAGAAATCACCTCTTCCACCTCATTGACTGTCACTTTTAACCGTTTCTTCGGCTGGCTGTTTGACGGCTCTTTTTCGCATCTTTTCAAGAGTTCCGTCGACATGCCCATCTGAAACGAATTTTTGCCTTTAAAAAATCAACAAGTCACCAAAAAGCATTTCCTGAGTCGACATGCTTGACAAAAACGCCTTGAATTGATGTTGATTTCACAAACGCCATGAAACGGACATTTTAACTCCTAGAAGGTGGGTATGAAACTCCGATTAACGAACAGTTTTACATTACTACGAGCAGCTTGCCGACGGAAAAAGGATTTGCCTAAATTTTAATTTACTTGAACAAATCAAAGGCCAAACATGATTCACAAGCAACGATGCCAAAGTTGTAACCAATTGCTCGGTCCCCACAAACACGACAAACTTTCTCCTCACTTTAAACTCTTTTGGTTTAGATGGAAATTTCACAAACCGTTTCATGCCATCACCATCCTCAGACATCGAAGAAGGCGAGAATGCCATCTTTTCTGAAGCCATTGCCAGTTTTTAAGAGTAATGTTGAAAGCGTGATAGGTTTTTGTTTGCAATTTATCAACGCAAAATATGAGACCATCAAGCAAGATTTTACGCATAGTTAACTAAACGAGATAAGGCAAATCGATTTGGAAACCATTTTCGGACGCATAGTAATAGACTCCAAAAAGCAAACTCTTGCTGATAAGAGCACGGAGCACACATTTCTATATGGCATGCCCCATGATTTTTGATGAGTGAATTTACTGCAATTTTTGTTCTTTTTTACTGGTCGAGAATCGAAAAACTTTATTTATAGCAACAAATTTGTAAAAAGCAACAATTTAGATAGGATTATTGATCCAGCGTGAAAGGGGGCCATGCTCACGGACCAATCTAGCCCCAACACCATCGGATTGAAGGCGTCCCTCAGCTCGCATTTTCTCGTACTCATCCTTGTTCCATTTTGTGAAACCCCATTTGCGGGAGACGACGATGAATTGACGGCCAGGGAATTTGAACTTGGCACGACGGAATGACTCGATGGCGTGGTTCACGTTCTAAAATGAAAGCATTAATCAGTTTATTAGGCTTACATCTTGCTGGTTTGGGAAGTTCAACACATTTTGGTACTAACCAAGTTCGGGGGGGGGGGGGGGCACTTTGACTTGACTCGGCCAGAACCTATTTTACGTTTTTTCTAGTCTGGTTTTGCATTTTCTGCGGTGATCAAATACGCTTAATCTATTGGTGATATTTTTAATCTTTTGAATAGTTTTCACTTTGTATTTCACCCCTTTTCTAGCTTTCCAACACTGCAACAGCCATACTTCAGCTAGCTCAAGATTGTTCAAAAATTTCTACAAATATCACCAATAGATCCAGCGTGTTTGATTACTCTAAAAAATGACATAAAACGGTCGAAAAATACGATCTGATCAAATCAGATCAAAGTGCCCCACCCATCGAACTAGTATTAGTAGCCACATTTTTGCTTAAATGTAGCTTTTATTTTGTCACAAATTGGTTACGCGCATAAAAAGTTACGGTTCCAACAATAGCGTTCAATTAGGGTGATTGTAAATTGGTAAATTGATTGAGAAAAGTTAAAAACTAAAAGACAATTCGGGATTCAAAAATCACTCACATTTTCCTTGACTCGGACCGAGAACAAGAAGTCGCCGATGTCTACACGGGCCACCAATCCTTGAGGTTTTCCATAGGCTCCTCTCATTCCTGTTTGTAGCCGATCAGCGCCGGCGCAGGATAACATCTTGTTGATTCGGGTTACATGGAAGGGATGTTTTCGGACTCGAAGATGGAAACCGTCTTTACCGCAGTTCTTCACCATGTACTAAATATAAAAATTGTTGCAGTTATCAAATTGATTGACTCCCATTTTAGTTTGGTAAATTCACAAGAAAAGGCGTAATTCTTCCGATCCTCCACTGTTATTCCCATTAGTACCCAAAATCCCTACCTTGTTGGCGCAAATACGGGCAGCTTCCAAGGCTTCTGATGAAAGATGTTCTCGTTCATTGGAGATCATGTGAACACAAGCGGAAAATTCGTCGACATCGGCCCTCTTCTTTCCGAGGTCGAAGATGCGAATTTTTGGATCCGGCACTCCTCGACAGAACCTCGACTTTGGGTAAGGCTTGTTCTTGATGTAGCGATAACAACGAGCTGGACGTCGACCCATCTAAAAGTTAAACGTAAATGAATGTCAAGATTGAAAGAAAATTTCGAAAAACAAATTAGGTCACTTAAAACCCAGCCAGCTCTTATAGGAGAGGTGTAGAGCAGAGGGGCTGTATTGCCGGGCAAAAAGGTAGCACTTTCACAGATTTAAGGAACAATAGTGATGAAAGTAATTGATTTTGAAATGAGAGGAAATTGATCTGAAAGAAGAAAATGAAAGTTTCGCCAAAAATCTTTCTGTCTGGTGCGGTCGTCATTTGTATACGCACGTACTCGTCGGCTGCTTCAAAGAATGAATTGTTGAGCGAGTTGAGTGAAGTGCCGCTCTTGCTAATGATCTAATGAATTTATCGCACTTCTCTGTTGTCTTTCAGTTTTCAATCAGACTTACAACTTTTTAGGTCATTCGTTTTCTGATGCGGGAGAAGTGCCGACAATTGTAACGCGCTCCGATGCTTCACTCCTTTTCATTGTTTCGACAAGTTTCTTCGTTGCACAAAGGCTCTACAAACTTTCGGTTAGTTTATTGTTGTTTTTTGGCTTTGAAAAATTAATTTTCTGATTTATCCATTGATCCAATAGTAAACCTTTTCTCTTTTAGATTACTGAGCAATCTACAAAAAAATGGCTTCAACAGTAGTGCGATCGATAAACTTATACCCTTCAGACAGGTTGGGTGATTTTTGAACAATTGAATAAAATGTTTTATTTAGAAACTTTCAACTTGGCTAAAACAGGACTCATCGAAGGCGAAACTTCTGTCATTTCGGCTTTCAGGATTGGGATTAAGCTTGTTGGCTGTGCCAACTTTGAGGTAGCTCTTTTTTTCTGGCAAGCTATTTTTTATTTAGGAGAATAGAATGCAAATCCGCTAATACGCTGAATAGACGAGCCGAGCACATAAAGCGAGAAAAGTTGGCCGAAGTTGAACCAGGATTAGCACTATCGGATCTATGGGCCCTTATGAAGCCATACCTTGGATGGTTTTTACTTGCGGTCGTGGTTCGTTTTTAAGTCTATGGAGTGCATTTGAATGATATCTTTGTGTTTTTGTTTAACTCACTTTTTACAGAGTGCTGTGGCGACGGCAATGCTTAATGTGGAAATTCCACTTCGTTTGGGAGAACTTATCAATTCAATAGCTGGGATTATCCGTGAACAAGGTACAATTTCTGCATTACATCTTATGCAATCGGAAGTATAGGTGCGGGTCATGCCATCGATATTGGCGTCATTCAACCAGCTGCAACAAGACTTGTATCCCTTTACGTGATTCAGGTAGGTGCACAAGTATTTAACGAAAAACAACCCATTGCAGGCTGCTCTTACATTTTGTTACATTACATTTCTGTCTATAATGGGTGAACGCATGGCTGCCGATTTACGTGTAAAACTTTTTGACAGGTAATTTAATTACGAGTTTGTTGACTATCCATTATTTTAGACTTCTACATCTTGATATGGTATGATATGGTATGAAGTTTACGATGTTCTTTCGATAAATTTTAGGCATTTTATGATGCTCAAAAAACGGGTGAATTGTCTTCGCGATTGAGTCTCGATGTGCACGAATTTAAGAGCAGCTTTAAACTCACCGTTTCACAAGGCTTGAAAACCTTGGTTCAGGTTGGCTAGAAACGTTGATTTGTGAAATTTTTAGACAGGTTGCCGGATGTTTTGTTTCACTTATTCGTCTATCACCAAAGATGACCGGACTAACGATGGCGGCTGTTCCTATTGTGATTTTGGTTGGATCAATTTGCGGAGCATTATTGCGAAGTTTGAGCAGAAGGTAAAATAAGTTTTTCTTCTTATATTATTTTAATACAGGGCACAAGCTCAACAAGCCATTGCCTCTTCCGTTGCTGATGAGGCCTTTGGAAATATCCGAACTGTGCGATCTTTTGCTATGGAACAACAAGAATCTACGTAAATTTATTTTCTTTTGCCTCTAAGCAACATCTTTAGTCTTTTCAAACAAGAAGTCATAAGAGGCGCTGCAATGCAAGAGCAGCTTGGCATGGGTATTGGAGTCTTTCAAGCTGGAACAAATCTGTTTCTAAATGGTTAGTCTATTCAATTTGAAGTTGATGTCAATTATGATTAAGGTGTCGTTCTCGGAGTGTTGTATGGAGGTTCGCAGTTGCTATCAACGGGTGATATGAGTCCAGGTAGATATATTTTTTTTCAAGTAAATTTTTTTTGTTTTTTTAGGTGGCTTGATGTCCTTTTTGGTTACTGCACAAACAATTCAAAAATCTTTATCACAATTGAGTATTGTAATGGGAACATCACTCAAAGGCTGGACTGCAGCAGCTCGTGTTTTTCAGGTTAGTGCATCTCGAGTTTTTAAAAAGTATCCCTGTTTTAGTTTGCAAATCTTGTACCAGGCATCCAAAACTCGGAGGGAATTTGTATCCCTCATCATTCTTTTGTTCCCGACATTCAGTTAATAATTTTAATGTGACTCATATGCTTGATTTCTTTAGTTTTGAGAATGTGAATTTTGTCTACCCAACGAGGCCAGGACATGTAGTTTTTCACGAACTCAACTTGACGATTCCAGCTGGAAAAGTCGTTGCTTTATGTGGACCAAGCGGAGAAGGTATTTTTGGCTAGATTTACGCTAAATTCATATTTTTTAAGGAAAATCGACAATAACTTCATTGCTTGAACGCTTCTATGAGCCGCATTCGGGACGGGTAACCCTTGGTGGAAAAGATCTTCGAGAGCTCAACACCGAATGGTTGCGATCAAAGGTAAGATAATTTTCTTTTATGCCAAAAACGATTATTTAGGTTATTGGCTTGATTTCACAAGAACCTGTCCTGTTCCATACTTCTATTTTGGAAAATATTCGCTACGGTCGTCCAGAAGCTACTGATGAAGAGGCTTGTTAAATGTTTGTCTTTTAAATTTTATTAATTACAGGTTCGTGAAGCAGCACGCCTAGCAAACGCTGATGAGTTTGTTTCGAACTTCCCACACGGATACCAAACGATTGTAGGAGAAAGGGGAACACAACTTTCAGGTTTACCAGTCGTATAAATATCATTCAGTCTTTTAAGGTGGTCAAAAGCAACGAGTAGCTATTGCAAGGGCGCTTTTGAAGAGCCCTCCAGTGCTGATATTGGATGAAGCAACATCGGCATTAGATGTCGAATCCGAGAGATTAGTATGTTGAATATCTTTGATTTATTTCTTTGTTTCAATAGGTTCGTGATGCTTTGGATCGTGCTATCAGCGGGAGAACAGTTCTCGTCATTGCACACAGACTTTCAACAATTCAAAACGCGGACATTATTTGTGTAATTAAGGTGTGTAAATTGTTTGATGTTCGGTTTTTATACGAATTTTAGAACGGTGGAGTGGCTGAGCAAGGAAATCACCGAGAATTGATGCGACGAAAAGGACTCTACTATGCACTTGTACAGGCACAGTCAACAAACGACTAAACAACTAGGTTGATCTTTTTGTTATTTTTGATTAGAAGCTTTTCACTTATAGAATTGTTTATTTTAGAAACGTATTCAATTAGCTCCATTGTTAATAGCTTTTAGACTTGAGAATCAGTTGTTGTTGGGTTTAAAATATTATGTGATACAATTGCTCAGCTTTCGCCTTTTAGGAATATTTTGCTCAGTCATTTGAGAGATTTAAAAAATATGAAAATAAATGTTCTTTTCAAAATGACTTTATGACGCAAACATAAACAAGCAAAATCTTCAGATTTTTGTTTGCATTTCAGTGTGATGCCATTTTTATTTTAGAGTAAGGCACAATTTAAAAGGTTTATTTCATGCCTAAAATCTTGGTTTTATACAGTATGTACACGCACGAATATAATGGACATATTGATGCTTCAAAACAAAAATCAAAAGTTGTTTTTACGAAGAGCTCAGAACTTTTTCGGCTACCTTGAATCGACGATTGGGTTGAAGAGTTTCTTGTTGATGTTGTCCGAGAAGAGCTCTGACTTGGAATGACGAGTTGGCTGTCATACTGTCGCTCGATTTTGCCTTTCTTCGAAATAACCGTTTGATCGTCAGCGAAATCGAATACAGAGAGAAGACAGGATGGGAATGGGACAATCATTGTTCAGTATCAAGGTGTAGTGTTAGAGCAAAAAGGATTTTGATCTTCTAGCTCCAGAATCCAAGTCCTTATATGCAAGTGATTACACGGGCTTAGAAAGGGAGTCAAGGTTTGTTGGGTGATAAAAGCTGTGCTCTCACCATTTTCCCCATTCTCTCGTCTCTTTCAATCACTTGCATCATATGCTTTATGAGTGATTGGAAATGAGGGAATAGGAAATGAAAGTTTTGAGACACGAAATGGAATTAATAGATCGTCGGGAGTGGAGTTGATGGTGTTTGTCACGATTGAGGATGTTGGCGAAGATACATAAAATGTAACTGTAACTCTACAATGAATTGCTCTGATTTTGGAGATGCACTAAACAGAAAAAGTTGATTTCAAAAGTTTGTCAAAATCGAAACCTTTTGCACTAATTTGACCAACTTTGACCTTGCCTCCACCAAAACACGAGTTTTCTAAATGCCTGTGAAATTTCTGAAAAATCGTTTTTGATCATCTCAACTCACCAATTTATTTTTCCCTCAATCATTTCTCAAACTTTTCTTTGAAAAACTAAAGACTGCGAATTGATCGTTGATAGATTAGAAAAAATGTGTGTTGTTTGGATAAATCAAGTGTCACATCAATCTATCGTTTTTGAGCGAAGGACAGCGAATTGAGTGACGATAAAATCTCACCTCGAACTTCACTCAAAACGATCACACTTCAAGCAGTCCTTTTCACGATAAGATCCTAGTTGAACACTTTTTTTAGAACCCTAATAAGTTAGCTTTTGTTTTAGTTTTAAACTCTAAAAGCAACAAGACAACAAGTCGAAATGTTTTCTCAGTTTTGAACAGTTCAGCTGAACTAAAGGAGCATTAAAATTCATACGTTTTCGAAATTTGCTAAAATTTAAAACACTAGAAACTTCTCAACGTTTAGCAAACGCTCTTTGCATCCATCACAAAAAGACTTTCTTTCACTCTTCCTTGCTTTCTCTTTCTCTACTTTTGCGAGATGGATATTTTAGACTTTTTGACTATTCCTATACCCATTTTTCTTGGACTTTAACATCAAAAAAGAGAAATATTCCTCGAAAAACACTTTCCAAATGTTCACTTTCACTGATAAAATGCATTCTTTCGTTGGTGCACCTGGGCTCGAAACTCGGCATTGAAAAACACCTGCAATTTTTGGCTTTCTAGAAATTTCTTTAAACAGATTTTTCAATATTTGTTTGTTATTGCAGTTTTTATGTTATTTTCTCTGAAACAATCACGAATTTCTAGATAAAATGGAGGAATTGGCTTTGATGTCTGGATTGGCCCAAATTGGCTTAACAGGTAGTCTAAAGCGAAACCTTTAATTGAAACTTTGAAAGTTGAGAATTTGCTGATCATTGACAATGAATATTTCAACTTTAAGACAATTCTCATTTTTAGGTTTTGCTTACTGGCAAATGGCCGGCGGCTTCTCCTTTTCTTTATCTGGCCTCACAATGAACAATCACATCTTTTATCTCACGTTGGCGCATTTTTTCACTGGTCGAGGTTAGTTGGTCGCAAAATGCTGAGACTGGCCATCTGTCATTCTGGCCGAGTGGTCTGAGGCGCTGCGTTCAGGCAACTGAATGTCGCGGTCCTCTTCCGAGGGCGCAGGTTCGAATCCTGCAGATGACGAAAGTTTTTGCTTGGGAGTTGAATGATTGTTTAACTAAATTTCAGCCGTCCTTGCGTTTCGACGCGGAAAAGGCACAAATGGACACGCGTATTCTCACGTTTTGGCGCTGTTGGCCCTTTTCATGGCCTATAGATCGTTGGAGCAGGTAAAAAAATAAAAAATCTCAGAAAAAAAGCAAATTTATAGACAAACAATCTGAGCGGGATGAGTGGTAGATTCATGAAATATTTGCAAGGAATTTATGTTATGCAGGTGGAAATTATGGCTTGGTTTAAAGAACGAAAAGTTTAGTTCCTAGCCTCGGCAGCTTTGATCTATCTGCCAGGAGTGCCTCGATCTGTGATCAGTCAATTCATTCCATTGCATAAACTTGGTGGCACAGCAGTTTGGGCCTTGCACTCAATACAGGTACTCAAATCTAGTTTTGACAAGAAAACGAACAAAATTCGAACGTCTAAAGGTACCATTTCTAGAATTAAAAGCAAATTTCAGCTCCTCTACACTCACTACATTCATGGAGGAAGTGGTGGAAAGTGAGTTTCATTAAAAGGTTTCCCTTTCCCTAAAGTTGATCTTGAAGTATTCAACAACATGAAAATATCAAAGAGGTTACAAAGTGAACTTCATTTTCAGTCTTGGCTGCTGGTTCACGTGCACCCATTTGTACGAATTTGCCTATCACGCCGCTATCTCCTGTGCTGCCCTCTCGTCCTTTGCCATCCTCTACACAATCACCAATCGACGTGTCCACATCAAAACGAATTAACCCCTTATTTTAGGGATTCATCATTTAAAAAGTAATAGCCATAAATTGTGTTTTGTTCTTTCTTAAAAACCACACCAAAAAGCAGAACTCTCTTTTAGCCTCTTTATAAATTGATCCAAAACATTTTGGTGCAACGACTTTGCAAAAAATCATTAAAAGAAAAGTGCCCACAGTCAAGTGTTCACTAACTGGGGGTCTTTCAAGATAACCCGATAGTTCCAGACCTTTGGACAAAGGGAGAAAAGCTGCCTCTCTTATAAACACTCAGTGAATAGCCGTCTGCTAGAAAATGTTATTGTTCCACACAGAGAAAAAGCGTTTGAGAATTCTTTTTCCTTGAAAACCTTTATAAAAATAATCAACATTTTTAAGCATCAAAACGATTGTTGATTATAAGAAAAAACTCGGGCGCTTGAACGGTGGTGCCGAACTTTTTCTTCATCGATGGTGCGATTTTTGAGGAAACCTGAGAAACTTATGCTATGATTTAAACTTAATTTAAGCTCTTTGAATTCACCTGAAACTTTTGAAAAACATTCGAAATGAAGAGGAAGAGCTCAAGTCGAGCCAATCCCTCTCCAAGACATTGCCGTTTCCCAACGGAAAATGGGACGAGTTGTTCGACTTTTTTCAGACTTCCATCAGAGTTCAAGAAGCGATTTGGATTAAACAAATAGGGATCGGGAAAAGTCTAAACTTTGAAAAGTGCAACTATTGCAAAATTTGATCCACCTTTTCATCATAGAGAACACATGAGATTTGTGGAAGAATAGCGGTGCCTTTCGGTACAGTGAACCCATTAATTACCACATCTTCAGTGGTTCGATGGAAGAGATTTTGAGGCAACAAGTTTGTGAGGCGTTGAATCTCCTGGAAATTTACAAAAGAGTTTAATCTACACTGTCTAACTGCCGATTTATCAAAAAAAAAAGCCAAACCAAACCCAACCATTGAGATAAGACTTATTTCAAGATCTTCCTTTCTTGAGAGAATTAATTGAAGTCTTACGAAGAACAAGAATAGAGTGGCCATTTGCGTGTGGCCGATCATAGAAAATACGAGTGCCCCTTTATATAAAGCTTTCGTCTAAGAAAGAAAAAGAAACGAATTTTCCACAAAAGACTCACATATAGACTTTGTGTGGGGAACACCAATTTGATGGCTGGGTTTTGAGGGGGAATCTTTAGAACAGTAATAACTTGATGGCTAGGTTTTGAGGGGAAATCTTTAGAACAGTAATAACTTGATTTTAATTTCCTCAAAATCTCCTTCAACACAAAGTTTTCTTTCTTATCTCTTTCAAAATAACCAATCAAATATCCTAGAATAGATCTAGAATGAATTTTTGCCTATTACCTGAGAAAGTTTCATTACAATGGCTGGGTTATAGTGGAAAAATTCTTCTTTCTATCACAATTTCCAAAGACTCTTTCTCAAAGTCCAGATCAGATTGACTTAAATCTTTGTACAATAATTTCAATCTCTTTGTTAATAATCATACTAAAATATCAAAAAGATCTATGGTTTCGCTTTTGTAAAATTGTAAATAAAGGAGAGACTTATTGACTAACCTAAAATTTTTATGTACAAAAGAAAAAGAAGCAAAAACCAATGGTCAAGGAGTACTACCGGGGGGTTCCTCTTCATGTGATAACCCGATAGTGCCGGACCTTTTGGCGATGTTTCGAAGGAAAGTTTTTGATTATATAACCCCTTGGGAAGCTGTGGGGTAGATAGGCCGCGTTTACACTTCCCTGAGTCATCGAGAGAACACAGAAAGTCTTTCTCAAAAGCTTATCTGGGAAAGAGGAAAGAAACCATATTTGCTTCCACCTTTCCAGAGGCTTATGTGTTCTCTCGGTGACTCAGAGAAGTGTAAACGCGGCCCATCTACCCCACAGCTTCCCAAGGGGTTATATAATCAAAAACTTTCCTTCGAAAATTCGCCAAAATGTCCGTCCCTATTGGGTTATCACCTAAGAAACCACCAGTAGTACTCCTTGACCATTGGTTTTTGCTTCTTTTTCTTTTGTACATAAAAGTACAATACATCTTTTGTACATAAAAGAACTCACACATATCACAGCATTCACATAGGGAAGCTCATTCCGATCCGAGCTCAGCACTTTTCGCTCGGATTTGATCACTCGATTCAACTCCTCGTGGATTTTCGCTTGCACATTTGGATGATTCAAAATATAACAGAATCCCCAGGTGAGAGTGTTTGAAGTGGTTTCCATTCCTAGACACAAGAAGTTTATAGTAGACATGCGTACTATAAACTACATAAATGGCGAACTATCACACTATAAATGCTTCTAACTTACTTCAAATCTGCCGGATTGACATGATCTATAGCTCAAAAAATAGAGAATCTCAAGAGCTTTCGAATGGACTAAAGCACATCAAAAATAATCAATTCTATAGAAAGTTATAGTCGAAACAGACCGAACTCGCGCGTAGTCGAAGCGATCATGTAACTGTAACTTTCTTTAGCATTGATGTTTTTGGGTGTACTTTAGTCCATTCGAAAGCTCTTGAGATCCTCTATTTTTTGAGCTACAGATCATGTAAATCTAGAAAATTTGAAGCAAGTTAAAAGCGTTTGTAGTTTACATTTGGCTTCTAGTGCTTCTAGTGCTTCTAGTGCTCATGTCTAGTTTACAGAAAATAGATTATCAGAGTTTTCAAAACTAACCCGCCACCCACAGGTCGAAAACAAGATTTTGGAGTTGAAGATCACTGAAAATGCCAACATAAACAATATCAATGAAAAGTTCGGTTAAAACTTGATTAGATTGAATTATTTTTAACACATTCATGACGATATGGCCTACCGGGCTGTACTAATGACGATTATTTTTAATACCAAGCTGTTAAGGACATTGTTATTCATTTTGCAGAAAGTTCTTGATAACTTTGTACTAGTTTTCAAGGGGAGATTCAAAGCTATCGAATGATTATAATAGTTTAGTTTATCTTTGAGTTTACATCAAATTATCAGTAAAACATTTAACGACTACGCGACTGTACGCCCAAAAGATAGTCGTCGCGATTTTTGTGATTTTCTGGCTAACCTGTAAAAGCTTTCAGCCGGTGTTCCCTTTTTTCGCTCTTTTTCTTTCAAGAAGCATTCAACAAAGTCATTCGAGTTCTAGGAGATTTTCATTTAATAATTTATATATATGATATACCGTAAATACTGTCATAGCGCCCCACCCCCATAATGACGGTGCGGAGTGTTGCGTAGTCTAGCTTTGAACGCGTTTTTCTTGACACTGGTTTATGCTACAATGCGCGCTTAGGTATCAAAAAATAGCTGAAATTCAGGGCCATTTTTTGATACCAAAGATGCATTTTTTGAAAGTACGGGTGCTTTGCAAGAAATTAAATACTAAAAAACTTTTACGACTACGCGACTGTACGAGGGGATGGGGTGCTATTATAGTATTTACGGTAATTATAATTATAAACATTATGTTCAAGTGTTCTTCCGTTCTTCCGTTCTTCAATACCTCTTCATTCAAATCGACTTCTTTCATTTTCACCTCAATTTGTTTCTCGAAAAAGTCGAAAAGTGCATTTCGATATGTGAAGAGTCTTTTAAAGACGGCTAAAAGTTTTTGGTTTTGAAAATGAATGAATCATAAACTTTGAAAATGATTATAATGATTATAATGATTATATGATGAAAATGATCTTTGAAAGTGATCATAAACTAACTGCTAAAGTAGGGAAAATATCGTAGTTTAGGGAAAAGGATGATCAAGAACATGAAAGGATTCGCGAATTCTTTCATTTGTTTTGTGATCGACGATTTGACAAAGAGAAACTCGTCGACTCGTTCCTGGAATAAGCCTTGTATAAAATTATCAAATTTTTTCATTCTTCTTGGATCAATGAATAATCCAAGAAAATTGGGGATCGAGTTCACTAGCGTTTCTTGCTTTGAGCACTAGTGTTGCTATTGCACAAGATCACTAGTGTTGCTAGTGATCACTAGTGTTGCTAGAGCACTAGTGTTGCTATTGCACAAGATCACTAGTGTTGCTAGTGCACTAGTGTTGCTATTGTCACTGATCCTCACCTCGTCAAATCGATACCCGAATAGAATATTGTTGATGATTGAGCCAACCGAGATGTCGAACTCTTTCTAAACTTTCTGAACTTCCAAATTTCAGCAGCCATCAACAAACTTGTATGTAAATCTCTCCTTTTTGCTTCTCGAGTCTCTCCAAAAGATGATCAACTTCAGTCATTACCTGGAATCATTGCTAGTTTGTTCAAAATCTTTCACTAACCCTCTCCTCCATGATGTTCTTTCCCATTCCAAAGTCTCGAAGGGTATGCAAAGTGAATCTGAAATTGAAGTGTTGAAATGTTACAGAGAAAATTTACCTTCTTTGATCTCGCCACAATGGTCCGTCTGTTTCCACAACACCATAGTCACCGCCTAAACGCCAACAACACCTTAGTCACCGGTTCGTTAGTTGCAAAAATGCCCACACCTCCCATCCGTCATTCTGGCCGAGTGGTCTAAGGCGCTGCGTTCAGGCAACTGGAACTCGCAGTCCTCTTCGGAGGGCGCAGGTTCGAATCCTGCGGATGACAAAACTTTTGCTTTTTTGGAGACATGATTTGGGAATAAATAAAACAATCTTTAGGAGTACTGAATTTCAGAAATAATCTTGGCTTGACAAATGTAATACGCAAAGAGAATGTTACACTTGGGATTCTGTAGCCGCTCTTGGAGGTTGATCAATAAGATCCGTTCCATACGTTGAAAAATAACAAATTCACCAATGGTTTTTATTATTCTGAAATTCAGTACTCTTAAAGTTGTTTTATTTATACCTCAATCATTTCTCATTTAACTCCCAAAGAAGGAAAAAGTTTTGTCATCCGCAGGATTCGAACCTGCGCCCTCCGAAGAGGACTGCGAGACCCAGTTGCCTGAACGCAGCGCCTTAGACCACTCGGCCAGTATGCCAGAGGTCCAAAAGACTTTCTGGACAGCCTAATAATCAAACAAAAGGACATATTAGTGTAAGGTCAATCAATTTCTATGACTTATAGAATATGTCTGCTCGATTCAACATCAACAAAAGTTGAATAGAAGTCCGATCCACTAGTCCCACTCACCCCTGTACATATCGGTGATCTCTTTAAAGTGAAATCGATCCGCATATTTGTCGCCGTCCTTGATGAAAGTCTCCTTGATCGTCTCGTAATCATTCACGCTCACTATTGGTTTTGTGCCTACAAATGCACTAATTTGGATATCAGCAAAACAAAAATAGATAGAACGGAAAAGAATTTCGCTTCCTATTGATTCATGTATCCAAGATTTGTGTTCTATCCAAAGATAGAACACAAATCACACGCGCACAGATCAGAAAATTGGGTAAATTGAAAGGTTTTCTGATTTGATTTTTGAGATTTGAGACAAAAATGAAATCACAAAAGTATTTAATTTTATTGAAAAAAAGCGAACCTAACCAATATGTGTACACTGATCCGTATTGTTTTTGCCATTTCCGGTAAGCTTCATAGCCGGGCTCGTTTGCTTGTACTTCCAGCAGATTTCCCAGAAATGGAAGAGGCGTTGGACCTGGGATTTTAAAGAATTATATAGCTTTTTATAGCTTTTTATTTAAATTTATATAATTGCATATAAACAATTATTGATTTGCTTGAAAGGCTAACCTGGCGGGAAATTCCTTCGTTTCCAGTATAACTCGTGGAACAGAAAAGCCAACAATGAGACAAACAACAACAGGAAAATCATTCTGAAACATTTCCATTTAAATAGTAAAAGGAATTGAAAAGATATTCAATTAAAGGACGAATGAACCAGTGATTTGTATTCGGAACGAGTTTTTAGGCTCTTTTTGTTTGTTTTTTTTGCGCGTTTTGTGATTGATAAGAGATTTGTGCAGGTGAAAATAGAGAAAATAGAGAAAATAGAGAAAATAGGCAATCGATTTAGATAGATATTTGAATTTTAACTTACAAAGAAAATGAACAAATAAAATGGATAAGTTTGGAAATGCTGGGTCTCTGTGATTTGAACTCGCCAACCAAACACGATTTTCTGATTTTTGTTGAGTGAGAGTATTTTCCGGAAAGAGAACACTCTGCAGCTTCTGTTAATAGAGCTGAAATGAAAATGATTTGATGATTCAGGCTTATGATTTAGTTAGGCTAAATCTCTTCTTTAGCTTTTTCCTAGGTTTCCTTAGATTTTTTCTTGGTTTTGAAGAAACAATGACAATTTTATGTATTAGGTTGGTGACATTGAAATTTCGTTTGCGTTTCTCTTTATGGATTTTAACACTGTGGATACTATTACCACCGCAATCTCTTCTGTTTCAAGATATAATTATTGTGCTTTATTACGCGTCTCTTCTTTATTTCCAGTTGAAGAATTTTAATAAAAAAATCTTAGAGATGCTAGACGACCTCAAATATCGACTTCGCATTTGTTGCTGTACGATTTCAAACATGAAAAAACACAAATAGAGCTCCGTTGAAGTTTTCAATTAAAAACAGTTTTAACTCGTTAACACGTTCACGGACAACCATGACATTGAAAAACCCAATGTTTTCCCTCTCTTTCATGCAAAATTCTCTTGATGAATAGAAACGAGAGAGGTGATCAAAAAAGAGATGAGATGTCTTGAGGGGACTTGAGAGAGGATCTCGAAAAGATTCATTCCATTCACATTCCATCTCTTCTCATATCCCTTTCCATATCCCAAATATCCATAAGATTCTCTCTCGAAAAAGCACTCCTTTGATACTATCCAAATTTTAGCGCCTTGTTTTTGGTGAGAATTCGAGCATTAACCTCGATTTCTGTTTTGTTTCACAACTCTCCTCGTGGCCGAGTGGGTAAAAAAATATGGTATAACGTCTTGTAATCCTGGTTCAATCCCCGAACACGTAAAGTGTTTTGGTCTCTTCTTCTTTTTTCTCAATAATGTTTTTTTTGAAGTTTTAGTTCTTTAAGTCTTTAGTTTCTTAAGTTTTAGTTTTAGTTTCTTAAGTCCAAATGGTGTCAGCTGTCAGCTGTCAGCTTGTTCCGTGACTTGTCCAAGAATTCCTGAAATCTTGCATCGAAATGTAGATTGTACGGATATTGCTTTGGTTCTATGTGACTTGAAAGCGAGTGTTAGTGACATGAAAGTGCATCCATAGAGATTTCACTTAAAGTATACTAATTATTAGTTGAGGCTATCGTGCCTTACTCTTACAACTAGAGTCTTGCTTCTCAAGCTCTCATCTGTGATAATATTTGCTATATGTAACGAATCCTGTTCACCCGATTCCCTCCATCAATAACCCCCCACTTTTTCATATATTTGTTGAGCATTCCTTTCGACTCTCATAATCTGTAACCTGAGAACAAGTTTTTTTTCTTTTTATTTCTTTTCCTTTCCTTCTCTTTTCCATTCAACAAACAGATTATTCTGTATAAACGAGCTAATCTTACCAAGAATCTCTCAGTGACAAGAAGAGATCATTATTTGCAAGAAATCAGCTTCAACAACCACATCTGCTCTTGAAATCAAACAAACTACTTGCAATTTACTTGTTCATGATCTGGGATTGATGGTTGAGCGTCGAAAATCAAGACTTTTGCAAGAATTATGATGAGATTAAGACTGGCTCCTCTTTGGGAGCAGCCAGTCTTAATCTCATCTTAATCTTTGAGTCTTAATCGTCTTAATATTTGAGAGCAGCTCTTTGAGATATTGTTCTTGGGTCTTAACAAATTTTTGGATGAAAACTTGAATCAGTACACTTAATAGTTCGAAGACTTGGTATCTTACCACATCACGTTCGCTTTCTCAAAGGTAAAAGCTATCCTTCTCATTTTTTCTCAATTATCTCAAAACCAGCTGGCGAATACTGACATGCTTGCCCTTCTCCTTTTCTTCTTTTCTCTTCTCCTTTCGATGATTTCTGAATGATGGCCTCCGATGACACATAATATGCACACAAACATTCTTTCATTTCTTTTTCACTGGGCCTTTCTGCTCATTTTTCGTCTTTCCGTCCTTAACGTGGTAACATGAAAAGAAATGGGTCTCTTGGTGAACTTGTCTCATCAATAGAGATTCAGTTACCACTTTTTGACCTTTGCACGCAGAATACTTGTAGTTCTTATTGTTAATTCTTGCAGCTCTTGCCTGAGCCTGTTTTCTGTTTGGAAATGATTGGGAGTAAAACTTCTTGAGTCAGTTACTGGTTACGGTCAGCTACTGGTTACTGGTTACGGGTTACAGTGAAACACATGATCTTGTGTTTTTTCAATTCTCAACATCTCAAATCGCTTCCGGATCTTTCCTCGTTTTGCACAGAATTTTCATCAACTAACCATTGATTTTGTTGAAAATTCTGTGCGAAACAAGAAAAGATAAGTGATTTGAGACGTTGAGAATTGAAAGAACACAAGTTCATGTGTTTCACTGTAACCCGTAACCAGTAACTGACTCAAGAAGTACTTTGTACTCCCAATCATTTCACAGCCAATTTCCACAAATATTTTGTAAGCGAAAACTCTTTTCTGTTGTATTTCTTTGAAAGCCACGATAACCCACTTTCGTTAGCTTCCCCTTCCCCTCCGAACACCCCAATATTCCCTTTCTTTGCCCGTTTCACACCTAACACATATGAATTGATGTGCGAAAAGGGAAAAAGACTTGCTTTCACACATTCACTTTCATTTTTCAGCTTTGCTTATCACTTTAGCAATTTAGTCTAAGATTTACTTTGGCGCATAGTTGGTATTCATATATTGGAACTAAAGCCTCCTTAGCTGAATTGTTCGAATGGGACAAGGCTACTCAATTTTTCAGAGTCTGACTGACTGACTTATACTGACTTGTTGGATAGTAATGCCCATTTCTTTTCACTCACACTTTTTCTCATCTTTTCAAACTTTCAAATCCTCGCCAACACATTCCAGTGGTTTTGTTTGTCAGAGTGGAACCGTTTCCTGAAAAGCAGCAATGTTTTTTTTGGTAAATGATAAATCCATGAGAGCGGTGTCTCAAACAATGTTTGGAAAGAGGAAAAGATGCATCTTTTGAAAAGACTGACAAGAGAATACCGACAAACATAAGGGGACACTGTTTGCAGCTCTTCATTGCGTATCTTTTCTCCGGTGTCTTTCAGTTTGGACATCGAACCGGGAGGGGAAAGGGGAAAAAAAAGGCAGTGATTGAGAGGAACGTCTATCTCTTTTTGCGCTTCGCTTCGTTGATGACTAGTTTGTCCATTGAGCACACTATTGGATCATTTATGCACTCATTTCAAAGCAAAGATTTGGTCGTATCAAGCTAAGGTAATTCACTTGCCTTTCCCAAGCAATTTTACCCAAGAGTTTGGCAGTTTGCCTACCGATCTTTTAACAATTTTTCCAATTTCCCCAATCGCCAAAAATTCCCCAAAGCTACATTGGAAAGAAAAGCGATTTGCCGATTTTCGATTTATTGTCGGAGTGAGTGAGTGAATGAAAAGAAAAGAAGAAAAGAAGAAATGAAAGGATTGACGGTCATTTGTAACTTGTTCTCCTCTTTTCCCCTTTTTCACCTTTACTCTTTTCTCATTCGATTTCTCTTTTCATGCTCATTCATCCCAAAACTCTGGGGTCAAGTAAGCTGGATTTCCGGCGGCTACCGATCCAACACTTGAATCTGGTTGTGTAATACACATATCGTAAATATTCTAATAGAAGAGTTCCTATAGAAGAGTTCCTATAGAAGAGTTATTATAGAAGAGTTCCTATAGAAGAGTTCCTATGGAAGAGTTCCTATAAAAGAGACTATAGAAGAGTCTAAGTTTCGTCTAAGTCTAGTCTAAGTCTACCCTCAAACAAACGCTTATATCTTGACACCAGTACGTTTGTTTCTGCACGCTTAGGTATCAAATTAAAGTCGAGAAAATGGATGATTTTTTGAAATATATAACATATTTTTAGCATTAACCAGCGCTTAGAAAAAACTGATTGTAAAGTGGCAAAAAAGAAGCCGATTTTTTTATCACAGTCATTAAAGAGTTAACTACGAAAGTGCATCACACATGTAAGCTGTCTGATTGGAAATTTTAAACGTTGCCTAGTTGCTGATCAGTTACAGAAAGTTGAGAATTCAGTTTAGTAGAGAAAGTTCTTCGAACCCAAGTTGATGCACCTTGAGTTTAAACGTTTTAGCGTGGTGATTGTCTTGGAAAATTTGGATATGCAAATTCAGCAGAGAGACATTAATGAAAGTCCTTGAGGGGAAAACAGTGCCATTCCGATTTCATTGAAGGTTTCCCCTTCAGTCTTTTCCCTTTCCTTTTCCTCAGCCATTTATTTTCCCGTTTGTGCCACTTACCTTTCCATCTTTACTTTTCCTCATTCATTTCTCTCAGAAAACCAGAGCCCATAACTCGTTCGTTTCAATTTTATTTGATCGTTTTTTTTGCTGACAGGCACAATTACAAATACAGGCAAATTTTAGAGGTTCAAGTGAATGAGGCACACTTGCAAAGAGCCGTTATAAGGTCAAGATTTAATTCTGAGCTTCAAATAGGTTTATAAACAGTTTGAGCTCTAAAAATCAAACTGACTGAGCTTAAAAACCGAAATTTTAACTGTAAATCAAGTATCATTTGATAGGATTTCATCTTGCTTGAACTTAATAAAACCCAGTTTAACTCCAGTCTGCTTCTAGCTGAATCTGACCCGATTTTGACTTCAACTGTACTTACCAAGCATATCCGCAGCACACAGCATAC